TAAAATCAATTATCTAAGAATCATGTTTCAATTATGAAACGATAATAACTCATCAAAATAAAAAATTAAAGATTAAGAAAGACAATCTGGGTTAAATTATCATTGAACACAATCGTTACGAGTAGTTAATATCTCTTGGTAGCTAATACACTCGATAATCACTCGGTAGTCCTTATATATTGGCTATTAATTAGTACGCTCCTTTTGATCTCGCTGGACAAGGTGAGGTCAAGATACCTAATAAAACCGTGCTCAGAAAGCAGCGGTCCTCGAACGGAGACCGTTAAAATTAATTACCCCTCTATTTTGTTTTCATTTTGCTTTAAATCTTTTTTTGTAATCTTACCACCGCGAACTGATTTATACATTGAACGCGACGTGAAGACTAATTGATGAAAACTTCTTGGTGTTATTTGTAATAAATCTTCGTTCGATCACTTTCACTATTTGCAATCATTTTAAAAAAATTAATTCGTAATTTTCTTATGATTTGATGAGATATGCTCAGTGGTAAATGTAACAGCAAATTCTAATACTGTTAAAACCTAGAGTCGGCACCAAATCGCAATTAACTTCCCATTATAAATAATGCATAATCTTCGGCATCGGATTTTATTTGTGTGTCAGTAAGTATAATTATACAGGATGTTGCTTTATAAATTAGATACCACCTGTACCGTCTTTCTAAAGTTGGTGTGTTGCAAATGGACCGTACTAGCTTTAAAATATTTAATTCAATGTTTTGAATTACTTGAATAAAATTTTATCAACTTTGGACAGATTTCATAGGTTCACAAATATAATAACTAAAGATACGTGACTATTATAGATGTTACACTTACAATGTGACGGAAAATTCAAATGTTTTGAACATCGTTGGCCAAAATTTCGTTCATTCAGCATGATGGCTAGAAGGGGCGATATTTACTTGGGCAAAAAATGCTTCACGGCTTCTATGAACCCTTGCGATCTAGACACTGCTTGTAGCCCACTATATATTGCATACAAAAGACTAGAAAATACTTGCAAAGAACTACTTGTCAAAATATTACTTTTTGCTTGCAAAAAATCTACTTTGTGTTTGTAAAAAAATACTTTCTGCTTGCAGAAAACCACTTAGTGGGTTTTGATAATGTTTGCAAAAGATATAATTTTCTTAAAAACTGCTAATGGAAAACTGGATAGTGCTAATAAAAGAATAGAGTTTGCTTGGATTGTTTGTAGAGGACTACTTACTGTTAGTAGATGATTAGACATGTTAATAAAAGCCTAGATATTGCTGACTGCTTACAGAATACTATTAACTGTTTGCAAAATGTTAAACACTGAAAACCAAGGATTAGATACTGCTAGTAGAAGGCTAGATACTGTTGGTAGAATACTAAATACTGTTAATAAAACTTCTTGTACAAGTCTAGATAATGCTTGCAGAAGACTACTTACTATGCAGCACAGTACTGGTATTCAGTATTACAATTTGGGCAGAAAAAATATTCACAGTCGATTGCAACGGAGATTATCCGAAGATCGATACTTATTATAAATTACTGTTCATCTAACCCAACCTAACTCAACCCAACCCAACCCACAAGGTGCTTAGGAGAGCGAAGGCGACTCCTCATGTTGTATATTACATTGTATATATAGTTAAATAATAAAAATGCCATGTATAGCTCTAGAGCTGGTCTGGTAAATAAATTAAAAAGAAAAAAGGATCTCCACTCTTCGTCTTTCTTATAAACTATATGGAGATGAGGTGTCCAAGTAGTACTACTTTCTACTTGAAAACAAACTACTTTGTGTTTGTAGAAAAAGATTTTTTGCTAGTAGAAAACTACTTACTACCAGCAGAAGTTTGATATTGTTTGTAGAAGACCTAAAAACTGCTAATAGAAAACTGAATAGCGCTACTAAAAGACTAGATGTAGCTTGTAAAAGACTACATACTGCTAGTAGATGATTAAACATTGGTACTAAAAGCCTAGATATTGCTTCCGGAAGACTTGATACTGTTGGTGAAAGAATAGATATACGTAATTGAAAAGAAGATATAGTCTGCCGAAGAGAAACTTCTGCTAGTGGAAGATTAAATACTGCAGAGAACTAGATAGTGCTAGTAGAAGACTAGATGTAGCTTGTAAAAGACTACCATTTAGTCACAGAATAACTTTTTTAATAATTTTGTGAGAATATGGTCAGGAGGCTTCAAGAAAATAACGATCAAGCAATCAACATGTGGATGAGTGATGAAGCGCATTTCCACTTCACCGAGTTTGTTAACAAACAAAGCTTTCGGCAGGGGAAATCCCCGTTTGCTTCATGAAACCCCTCTTCATGCCCGAAAAGTAACAGTATGTTCTGCTATGTCGGCATATGGAATCATCAGCGCTTTTTCTTCGAAAACGATGCCAGATTCCCAGTGACTGTTACTGCACAGCGATATGTGACAATGATCCAAAACTTTCTCACTCCTAAACTTGCACGTTTTCCAATGGATCAGCACACACATTTCCATCAAGACGAGGCAAGAAGCCACACAGCGAGGGTCAGTATGAACTCTGTTCCCAGGCCGCCTTATTTCACGAAATGGGGATATCCTCGCTTCCATGTTTTCGAGGAGAACCCACCACAAACGATCCAAGCCCTCAGAAAACGTATTCGGAACGAGATTACGGCGATACCAGCCAACATGCTCAGAAACGTCATGCAAAATTTCCAGGCCAGACTCCAGAAGAATTGCATAAATTTGTATGGAAGACATATGGCAGATGTGTGTTCAGAAAATAAATTCTTTTACATGAAACACAAATGGTTACTCATATTCTTCACTTTTATATAAATAAAATTATAAAATATTAATTTGCATAAAGGTATCAGTTCTTAAAATCATCCTATTTCACTGACTAAATACTGTTGGTAGAACACCAAATACTGTTAATGAAACTAATTCTTGCACAAGTCTAGATAATGCTTGCAAAAAACTACTTACTATCCACAGTTCTGGTATTCAGTGCATACTTCCATATCTCCATTCTTCATTTTTCTTATAAACTATATGGAGATGAGATGACTAAGTAAAACTACTTTCTGCTTACAAAAAAAACTACTTTCTGTTTGTAGAAAAATACTTTCTGCTTGTAGTAAACTACTTACTGCCAGCAGAAGTTTTGATACAGCCTGCAGAAGACATCATTTTCTTGATAACTGCTAATGGACAATGTCACCAGCATACAGCAGTTATAACTCGTTCTATTTCCAATATTATATACTATCAACATGGTGATGTCTTGTTTCCAAATCGCAAGTAATACTAATCATATTTGAACGCGATTTACACTTGTTCATCTCTGGGATTCACTTAATGGTAGGCATGACTTGGTAGAGGTATGGGAAACCATACCAACATGGGTAGTTCGCCCACGTTAGTTTCTTCTAGTCGGACCCGGTTCACATCACACTATTTCTGCCAATTTAGTTAATCCGTGCAGAATTTTTTGATCTTAAGAAACAAAGAACACTTGTATATACGCCGGTACTCAGTTACACCAAGGAAATCTCAGCTAATGTCTCAGCAATTGTGACAGAATCTTCATGTTCGCAGATATTGGAACTCGTCATCTGATTATTTTTTCCTCCAATTTATCGCACTTCCTCGCCAACATAGAATGGATACAATGTTTAGCACCACCACCGTTTCTGAATACAACTATTTACTGGAGATTTACGGGAAGTCCCTTCGATTTTATTGTTTTCACAACAATTTTTCACGCAGTTTTCTACCAAACTCTTCTATCCAATTTTTTGTTCCAGATATGTGCTAATATTGCTTCCGGTGCACTTCCTGACCTGATATCTGATTTTGCTTCGTTTATGGAGTAAATGAATTCCATGAAGCTTTAGAGAAAAAGGGACCTAATAGATGTTTTATAATTAATTGTAAAATATTATTAAAATCACATTGAATACAGTCCTGTTAATAAACGATATATAAGGTGACAGTATTAATGGAGTAAAAAAGATAATATCAATGGCTTTATCTCTTCACGGATGTGCATCTAAAACTTCTTTTGTATCTTGAAAATATAACCGAACGGAAAAAGAACATAAATAAAGCCGCAACAACTCTAGATGTACTGATTTAAAAACATCGTAACAGTTCGGCCTTTTTCATGTAATAACCAAAAAGAAAAATTTAATAACCCAAAGGAAATCAGGTTTTCAAATAAAACCAAATTCGGTAGCTGAAATACCATTTCTTAACCATTTTCAAACCTATATTTTAACTGTATTCAATCTTTTGATTACAACAAAACCGGATTTCGTCTAAAAAAAAAATAAGTTAAAAAAAAGATTTCAAAAAAAAAGTATAAAGATAAACGTTCCTTGGTTGAGATCCATCAACAAACTACGAAAAGTGGTAGTTAAATCCTTCACATCTTTCCCTCCCCGAAATGCTTTCTAAATCACGGCAATTTTGCCGGTCGAAATTACAAATTACACACACAACCTGAAATCGATGAGTTATGGAGTTCCGAAAAGTCGACGATTTCGAGAGATCGCGTCGTGTCAGCAGATAAATCAGATTTTTTTTGTTTAAGAACCAACTCGCGTACCTCTGTAATTTATATCGAAAGAAAAATTCAAGACTAGAACACACAGAGATGACAAGAAAAATATGAGAATTATATGTTGTTAACATCAGCTGGGTAGTACTCAAATATATTGCAGAAGAAAACAATATTTCAAATTGTTGTCAAAAAGTTTAGATTTTTTTTCAATTGAAATATATCAGGAGATGTCTATTTTTGAAATGGATTTTTATTGAACGCGACATGCATAGTGAAGAGTTCCCAAGAACGTTATGACAACGTAGTGAATAGAAAGAACTTACCAGTAGCGTTTTAACCCCACCCATTCATTCATTCCACGGTGGTAGGGACATTTAAATTCATCACTTTACCTGGTATAGTAGGGCCTCCTCAACCATTAAAGTCCCAACACAATACGCGATCAGTCCTCTCTATGACTTTGTCCATGAAAGTTCGTACTCCGTATCAATCAATGTGTTAAAAGAGTGAAGAACAATAATTAGTGATTAATTTTTAGTGATAATAAAGCAGTTATTGTTTGTGATTGTATTTGTGATCTACTCTAATTTTGGATTAATTAAAACAATAAATAACTTTATTCGAGTAAGTTTTTACCTTGGGGTTGTTTTGATTTAAGATATATTTATTAATAACACGTACATAGATGTCAAGTTAAAAGTCTCGGTCATTTCCTGTTTCAAAGTACGAGTTCCTTCTTCGCCGTAAGTGCGTGACTTACATTTTGAAAAAGGAACATCCTACTCGAAGCTGAAACGCGACAGACGATGATTTTTAAAGATTACCAAATGAATTGCGAAACCCGCGTCTTTTGGCGAACGAACGATTGCAAGACTTCTTCTTTTTGTTTTGTCTTCATGATTGCATGCCAATTCCACATAATAAGTCTATTATGCTAATTTCAAAATTGCGGCTAACGATCCAACAGCGCCAAATACGGCAGCAACTGCACTGTCACTTCTCTACAAGTTTGAAGAGCGAAAATCATGCAATAAAAAAAGAATAACTATTCGCACCCGGATCGTCCTAGAAAATGTCCTTGAGAATTAGTTTTTTTTTTCTTATTCGAGTTTGTTTCCTTATGTGGTTTAGATTTTTTTCTTATTTAGGTTTGTTCTTTGAACGAGTATATAATTATTGCAAAAAAGAAAACGAGAAAAACTAAATCAACCTTGATTTTTCTTTTGTTTTTCATCCTCTCGTTTTTAATTGATTTCAAAAAGTTTCCAGGAAGTAATTTAAATGTTCCAAAGATGGAACGTTCACCATGCGTAGTCTTCACAATTTTCAAACGGTTGCATACTTAATAGCTTCGATTAAAATTACCATCAACTCCAATATACTTATGCGCATTATCCACTCATTATCCATCTCCATAATGACTACGTAATAATATACAATTTACTTCATTGTTCAAAACTTCATTATTCACTTCTTTACCGGTAATATTTTATTAATTAACATCTTTATTTTTAATTTTTCAGAAGCTTCATTTTATAAAAACGTTTTATAAAGAAAGAAATAAAATGATGTGGGTTGAAGAAACAAGACAACAACTCAACACACGTCTGACAGAAGAAGATTCAGATGACGACAGTGATACAAGTGGAGAAGAACTTCCCATATGGATAAGAGGTGAACAAAGATGGGTTTCAGGTGTTGTTGGAGAAACAACATGTCAAGATGTTATTGCGGTTCTTTTACAAGACGAGGAAACCAGAGTAAGTAACATCTTTAAAAAATAGTAACGTCAATTTCATGCAACTTGGGACGATATAAATAATCCCAGGTTCAAAATAAAGCCGAATGTAAATTGGTTTTATTTTCCTTAATTTCGTCCTTCTATAAATATAGTTCTTGAAGCAAGTTCTGTAATTAGAGTAACCTCTTCTACGAACTGATTTTGAGCAATGTTTGTTGTGAACCGAGCAGCTAAGATTTCTTTGTAAAATAGTTATTGATGATCAAGGATAAAAATATATTTCGCCTTTTAGTTATGTATAAGGTAATCCTAAGATCCTCAAAGGATTAGAAAAAGACAATCATTTGCCTTATTATTACTGTACTATTGTACTTATTGTATTATTGTACTTTATTAATTTTCGACATACATAAAGTACCATAAGAAGGGATAAAATCTTGTCGAGTTTTGGTATAGCAACAAAACTAGCTAAATTAGTTATCCTAACTATGAGTGAGATTGTCAATTAAGTTAAAACCAAAAATAAGCTTAGATAATTTTATAAGTAGTCAGGGATTGAAGCAAGGTGCACCATCAGTATTCAATTTGGTCCTAGAATATGTCATGAGACAATGTGAAATAGATGCTAAAGGCACGATAGCATATAAAACAACATTGTTATTATATCTCGATCCCTTATAGAAATCAAGGAGCTTCAACTAGTGGCTAAGACAGTAGGTTTGGAGATCAACGTATACAAAATCTAGATAATGATCCAATCACGTAGATAGTCGCAGGCAAATGGTTATTTCAGGTAGATAGCATTTTCCTAGCCAGATACTGTCTGCTTAGGCAAACAGTAGTTCGTTACAGTTTTATCATTAAATGTCTAGGCAAATACTATTGGACAAGACAAATAGTATCTGTCTAAGCTTGTTTTAGGCAAATACTATTTTTTCGATACAACAATGCAATATAGAGTAGGTACCTGTTCACAATAAAATAAAGTAGTAAGTAGTTACATAAAGTAGTTAAATTAATGTCACTAATGAGTGTCAAACGAGTCAAATTATTTGCGTATCATTTTCAAAAAATGCATAACAGTTTCATATACTTTTATTAAGTTTAATAAAAATAGAAATAAACGATTTATTTCTCGATTATACAAAAATGTACTTGTTTTGACAATTGTTGCTGGACTGGCATCTACTAGAGGCCTGATTGCACATCATCTTATTTTTGAAACAAGTACACCTTTTTGTACTGCAGAAATTTCGAAGGCTGACACTGACACATTTTGACATTCCTTGCTTAGAAAACAGTGACTGTGAAGTGCAGGCCTCTCTTAAAGAAATAAAGCATTCCTGGGATTGGGGTTGATTATAGAGCTATTCGCCTGAAAATATTTTAGCCATATGCTGTTTGTCTAGGAAAGTAGAATTTAGACTGAAATAAATGAAATAAAACTATTTGCCTAGGCAGATACCAACGCATTCCAATACGATGGTTGCATACAATTGTTTGACGAGTTCATATATTTTGGGGTTCAGGTTTGGAAGAGAGGGTGAGTTATGAGATAAAGAGAAGGACAAATTTAAACAATTTCTCCCTTTTACTAATATTCAAATCTAAAAAGTTGCGTAAACTAGATTGTATAAAAGAAACTGTACTCTGCTACGGAAAGCTGGACTTTCAATACAAGAATGGAATTGTTGGTTAATACATTTGAAAGAAGTATTTTGAGGCAAATCTGAGGTCCGGTTTGCGAGGGGAGGATGTGGGGGTCATGTGTCGCGCATGGAAACAAAATGTATCCCAAAGAAGATATTAAATATCGATTTTGGTGGTAAGAGGAGAGTCGGAAAGCCAAGATGTAGATGGGAGACCTCACACTCCGGGGTGTGAGGTGTTGGAAATGAAGGATTAGGGATAGGCAGGAATGGATGAGCGTAATAAAGGAGGCCAAGGCTTGACATCGGGCTGTTGCGCATAGAAGAAGAAAGAGAAACATAAGTGTGGACATCCATCAGCTAAAAACGGAAACTATTTACTTCAACTGATACTTTCAGCAAATCACCACGTCTAAACGTTTTTAGCAGGACTTGTAATCAACAGTTTGGTGCTAGGAAGACCTACTTTGACGATCACAACACTACTATATGTAATTTTCATGATAAATCTACCAGCAATTACCCCTCAACTTCGTAGTGCTGTGAAAACTAGCGGAAATAATGATAAGAAGGGCATTAATGCCGGACGTTCAATGAAAAACGTAATCCTAGACAGGAATATCTAAAAAGTGCAAGTGCTGAAAAGACTAATTCTAAAGATATTTCTCTTAATTCGGCCAATAATGATTTAGATGATCTCAAAAACGAAGTTTGCTTTTCCTGTCTAATTCCTGAAAGAATTCTGAATGTCCAAACTTTGTGTTATTTATGTTCGAAGCATTAATTGGTCTACTTTTCCACATTGCTAACATTTTGCTTTGCAACCTCAAAACAATAAACAATTCGATAAAAATAAAAAGGTCACAACAACCTATCTTATTTGGACATGGCTCTACAGATTACAACCTATCCACCATAACACAGCAACAATCAACTAGCTTCATTGTACGTTTTCCGCATGTTGTATTATTGTATTAATTCATTCCATACCACTTATTTACGCTTTGTAACCTAGATTTTACGCACAATAATCTACATGTTTGATTTTATAGCGGAACATTTAATTCTCATCGTTAATTTTTTTCTCGAATACATTATCTAAACCGTTCATTTTTTTAGATGCTGTGATCACAATTTCCCATCAATCTTAATTAAAGAAAATAATTCAGCAGGTCCATAAAGACGTTAAAAATACTATACTCAATAAAAAACATTCGTAGCTTCCTACTTGATAACACTCACTAGTCACTGTTGATACAATAATGTTTACTCGCATGTTAATAACGTCAAGAAGAGATAATATAACGGTTCGTATGTTACTTACGGTTTCACTTTTATTACTGAACGAGATGAAATACAAAGGATAGCGTGGATGTGTGTTGTTTCAAAAAAGCTCGGTTTGAGAAAGCTGGCACTTAACCTAAACTGGGTTCTAAACACAAGAACCGTGTTTAGAAGCATCATACAAAACTGCATATTGCGTTACTCAATAAAAAGAGCCACACATTATTATAAAAACTCTTGTGAAGCCTTATGTACTAGACATCGTAGAACTAGTATGTGATTTCTTTGTGAAACGATTCATTCGAGAATTGTCCAAAACGTTTTGAAGCAAATAGTTGAGGAACTAAATTCTTCACCATTTCCATTCAGCGTGCAACTAGACGAGAGCACAGCTGTGTCACAATATAGTTCAACGAATTACAAAGATTTTTAGTGATTCACTTTTGGAAGCAAGTAAATGATTTGATAAAACGGGTTTTCTGAAAAGCACGAGATTGGAAAAATAAACTGGAGAGGGCACCTGCGATTCTTAATATCATAACTTATTGCTTCTTACACCGGCATACATTGGCGTTACGAATTTTACCAACCTTTTTGAAAAAAGTTATCTCCACGTGTAACTATGTAAGCTTTATAAGAGCCAAAGCTTTGAACCACCGCCTTTTTAAGAAACTTTATTTAAGAAACTACTATTCAGAAGTACGCTGGAGATAAATGTCTGGAGAATGACAATTTTTTGCAAGAAACAGCTTATTTTGCTGATATTTTTGGCTTTTGAAACGAAATAAATTCATCTCTTCAGAAGCCTTTTTAGATAAGCTGCCACTCTGGAAAAGAAGAATCGATACAAGTATAACCACATATTTTTCTATGATGGAAGAACTGTTCTCACAAAATAGTGCAGACCAAACTGCAAGAACATTACCAGCTAAAATACAAAATTCTGAAATGATTTCAATACACCTCGGAACACTGCAGAACTTTTTTGAACAAAATCAATTATCTTAATTTGATTAGGCGCCATTTTGCAAATAATGTTTCAAGTATATATAGAAAAGAATACCATTTGATTTTTGAGTTTCAGATTATTTCAAGGATAGATATTATGTCAACCAGTAACTTAGGCAATCCACGCTCCAACTTGGTTGAGAGACAATATAAAGATTATTTTCTATAAACAATTCTTTTTAAATAAGTAAATATATCATGAAAACATATGCAAAAGATTAAATTGAAATACCACATAATTTGGCAGTCAGAAATTCCCAAAGAAATCATTTTATTTGATACAAAAAAAGATACTCCCCCCTTAAAAAGCTTGAATTAATTAACTAGTATTAGTTGAGGTGGTTTACACTCAATTTCAAATTATATCATGTTTTGACAATGTTAATAATTAAAGCTTTATAATTTTTCAATCACAAAATGCAAAAATGTATTGAATGGTACCGTTTTTCAAGCACAAATCCAATGAGTAGCGTTCAAACGGTTTTTGTGTGGCAACATTACACCGTGCAAATCGCGAATTATCCCGATATGTTTTGGTAAATTAATAAAATTAAAAACGACTCACCGAATGGATGTTGTTTCCCTTAGATTTTACGTCGAAGCTCAGCTGAAAAGAATAGATAAATTAATTTATTGTGACAAAAAAAATGAATGAATATGATACCTTTTAACATCCATAAAATAGCAATCCCATGATGTCCTATATCACATCACTAACACCACCTAACACTTATCAGAAATATAGCACGTATTTATCACTTAATTCAAGTAATAAGTTTTATTTTTCAAAACTACTTTATCACCCTTAAATGCCCGCACATCAACTAAAATGTGTTATTAGCGAATCAACTTCCAAACATCCCCTCCTTAATTTATTGTGTGAAGAAGGAAAACTGGAGGTGAATAAACAAAAAATGTTAAGTCGGCGGGGCGAAGCGGTTTTAAATCGTTTTTTGGATTGAAAACTCAACCTTGAAATAAAAAAATTACTCGTTTTCTCGAAACGTTTCAAATAAAATGTACGTTATTTTACTAAATTAAAACGCACTAATCGAATTTCAATGTTTAAGACTTCCTGCAAAAGAATCAGGTGTCCAAGAAATAATTAAAACGAAGCAGCCAAGACGTTGGATTATGCATCATCCCTTATTTTTTGTGTCATGAAATATAAATTTTAAAAAAATCGTATCTCAAGAACGAATTGAGATATCATCATGAAATAAAAAATATTTTAAAGCAAATTTAATGAAGATTTAATATCTTGAAAACATATGCAAAGATTAAATTGAAATACCACATAATTTAGCAGCCAAAAATTCCCAAAGAAATCGTTTTATTTGATATAAAAAAAGAGACTCCCCCTTAAAAAGCTTGAAGTAGATTTTACTACCTAGTATTATTTGGGGTGGTTTAGACTCAATTTCAAATTATTTCATGTTTTGACAATATTAATAATTAAAGCTTTATAATTTTTCAAGCGCAAAATGAAAAAAATGATGAATGGTACCGTTCTTCAAGTACAAATCCAATGAGTAGCGTTCAAACGGTTTTCATCTGGCAACATTACACCGTTCAAATCGCGAATTATCCCGATATGTTTCGATAAATTAATAAAATTGAAAACGACTCACCGAATGGATGTTGTTTCCCTTGGATTTTACTTCGAAGCTCAGCTGGAAAGAAAAGATAAATTAATTTATTGTGACAAAAAAAAATGAATTAATACGATACCTTTTAACATCCATAGAATAGCAATCCGATGATCTCAACTATATCACATCACTAACATCACCTAACACTTAGCATAAATATAGCTCGTATTTATGACTTAATTCAAGTAATAAGTTTTATTTTTCAAAACTACTCTATCACCCTTAAATGCCCGCACATAAACTAAAATGCGTTATTAGCGAATTAACTTCCAAACATCCCCTCCTTAATTTATTGTGTGAAGAAGGAAAACTGGAGGTGAATAAACAAAAAATATAAAGTCGGCGGGGCGAAGCGATTTTAAATCGTTTTTTGGATTGAAAACTCAACCTTGGAATAAAAAAATTACTCGTTTTCTCGAAACGTTTCAAATAAAATGTACGTTATTTTACTAAATTAAAACGCACTAATCGAATTTCATTGTTTAAGACTTCCTGCAAAAGCATCAGGTGTCCAAGAAATAATTAAAACGAAGCAGCCGAGACGTTGGATTATGCATCATCCCTTATTTTTTGTGTCATGAAATATAAATTTAAAAAAAATCGTATCTCAAGAACGAATTGAGTTATCATCATGAAATAAAAAATATTTTAAAGCCAATTTAATGAAGATTTAATATCATGAAAACATATGCAAAGATTAAATTGAAATACCATATAATTTGGCAGCCAAAAATTCCCAAAGAAATTGTTTTATTTGATATAAAAAAAGAGACTCCCCCTTAAAAACCTTGAAGTAGATTATACTACTATTATTTGGGGTGGTTTAGACTCAATTTCAAATTATTTCATGTCTTGACAATGTTAATAATTAAAGCTTTATAATTTTACAAGCACAAAATGCAAAAATTTATTGAATGGTACTGTTTTTCAAGCACAAATCCAATGAGTAGCATTCAAACGGTTTTTATCTGGCAACATTACACCGTTCAAATCGCGAATTATCCCGATATGTTTTGGTAAATTAATAAAATTGAAAACGACTCACCGAATGGATGTTGTTTCCCTTGGATTTTACTTCGAAGCTCAGCTGGAAAGAAAAGATAAATTAATTTATTGTGACAAAAAAAATGAATTAATACGATACCTTCTAACATCCATAGAATAGCAATCCGATGATCTCAACTATATCACAACACTAACATCACCTCACACTTAGCACAAATATAGCACGTATTTATCACTTAATTCAAGTAATAAGTTTTATTTTTCAAAACTACTTGATCACCCTTAAAAGCCCGCACAGCAACTAAAATGCGTTATTAGCGAATCAACTTCTAAACATCCCCTCCTTAATTTATTGTGTGAAGAAGAAATACTGGAGGTGAATAAACAAAAAATGTAAAGACGACGGGGCGAAGCTGTTTTAAATCGTTTTTTTGGTTTCAAAACTCAACCTTTTAATAAAAAAATTACTCGTTTTCTCGAAACATTTCAAATAAAACTTACGTCATTTTACTAAAATAAAACGCACTAAGTAATCGAATTTCAATGTTTAACACTTCCTGCGGAAGAATCAGATGCCCAACAAATAATTAAAACAAAGCAGCCAAGACGTTAGATTATGCATCATCCCTTATTTTTTGTGTGATGAAATGTAAATTTAAAAAAAAATCGTATATCAAGAACGAATTGAGATATCACCATGAAATAAAGAACATTTTAAAGCAAATTTCATGAAGATTTATATATATAATTTCTTATTTTCTATAAACATCGTTGTTATCATATCGTTGCTCTCATTATCAACATATCGACGGACAAAAACTCGGTTTTAGATAGAGAAAAGACCGAGCTTTCCAACCCTGTTCTTAATTTTTCGCTAACGTTATAAATAACAAAGTCATCCGTCCGAAAAGTAGATGGAAATACAAAGGTAAAGTTTGTTGCCAACTGTAGGCTCTTTTCCAGGAGCGTTTTTTCTTACGGACGGCGACAGATATTGACGGACGAAAACTCGGAATAAGATAATCCAAGGTCAGCTCTTTCCGAATATGTAAACCATTTGCTGAATTTCCTTCTGATAACGGCTGCACAAGGCTGTGAAGTTTAGTAATTTTGAGGTAATTTAAATGCAGTTTTTTTTTGTTCTCGGTTTAAGATAGAGAAAAGAGTTTTTCGCTATCTTTCTAGATAACGAAGATATGGGTCCGAGAAATATAAGGGAAAAAGTTTGTTGCTATCGTCTCGCCGGTAAAAAAAAGACTACAAAAGTAGTAAGAACACCAATAAATTATATTAAAGGTAGAAATACTAAAACCAAAAATTAGAAAAAGATTCCCTGTTTTAGTACAAATACATTTTAAATCAGTCTATTCTAGAATATCTAGAATGTTTCAAACATTTTGATATTAGTTTGTTCTCTAGTAGTAATTCGTTTACAAAAAAATATGTAATTGGGGAGTAGACTTCCAGGCAGTAAAGTCACCGGAGTGGGTTAAACAATTATACGTACTTAATTAATAAGTTTAGAGATCGGGCATTTCCATTTTCGCATTCACCGTGAATCATACTTTCGATGGAGATGTTGACGACTAAAATTGGTCAATTAATAAAGGAGATAATTGACTTATTTGATTAAATGGTTGAGTGGTTCTCTTGTTATAATCAAAATACTATACATGAAAAATCCTATCTAATTGGGGGCTAGAAAAATCTTCGCATAACCACATAACAAATCAAAAAATAATTTTAGAGACTTGATAAATTGATTGATTTCATAAAATAAGCACGTTTTGAGTAATTTTTTCTTTGATGTCTATTGAAATTGTTCTCACGCGTTAACTTCCGGTGCTTTATCGGGAGGAGGATTGACGACCACATCCTCTTTCGTTCTCTGCTTTAAAAGGAGCGGGTTTTCATGTATTTATGTATCTACGGCGCCAGTTGTCTTGTGGGATTAATAATCGGCCGGGACAAAAACGAGTCCGGATCGAATTAAAAAAAGAGCCAGGGTTTGCTTTGCTTTTCCTGTAGTCGATTACTTACTATGGGATTATCGCATACATTAATATCATTATCTTTTCCCACTCTATTATAATATACCTAAATAGGAAACTGTATTTAAGAAGAAAAAACCGTTTATTTTTTAATTGAAAGCAAAAAATGATCGGCAAAAAAATAGAATCATTGCGATATCATTAAATCAATAAATTGAAGGAGTTGAGAGGTTTCGATCTCTAATCAACGTCAATCAGACCGCGGAAATTATTCATAACTAGAAATTTCTTGCTCATCTTCTAATGAGAACCTACAATTTACATTTATTATTTATTTTTTTATTAAAGGGACGTCATGTAAGTTCGCCAGATCAGTATCATATAACGGAAAGATGGAGAGGCGTTGAACAACCTTTAGATCCAAATTCGAGTATTTTAGATATTTGGAATGCCTGGGGGAGAGCTCAACCCGAAGTAAATTTTATTTATTTAAAAATTAAAATTAATTTTTAATTAATTTTTTTATATTTTAGGTAAAAATTTCATTGAGAAGGATAAAAAGCGATGGCGCAACATCGCGAAGAACCCGATTCAAATCAGATTCGAGTACATGGTCAGATAGAAATTCTTGGAAAACGATCCATCCGAAACGTTTAAACGCTCTTCAAAACGAAAAACAACCATCGAGTACAGAAGAATTGTTGAAGTTGGTTTTGGCACAAGGAGAAGTTATACGAAGACAACTAAAAAAATTAAGGTATGCAATAAAAAAAGATTTAACGAGAATCACAACAAAGTCCGACATATGGAACATACACACTTCAAATTCTTTTTTATTGTGAACCCATCTTTTCACGCCATATGTTAGTCACGTTACAAAAAGATCGCATTGAAAAGGAGACGAGCAAAAGTATGACTCAGACAGCCCCTCAAGAAAAACATGACGTGAATCATTTGGTTATGAATTGTGAATACTAAATAAATTTTCTGTGACTGTTAAAAATTTATTTTTACATTTTTTCCACTTTTTTCCAGGCATAGTGAACATCAAATTGGTTTTTTAGAAGATAAAGCACACCGAGCGAGAGTTCGAAAACACGGTAGTAACTATTTATTAGAAACATATTTAAAAGGACTCTCAGAAGCTGTTGATCCCGAAAATGATTTTGATCCATCAGCAACAGATAAACACAGCGATAGTGGAGTTGTAACGGAAGGAGATAGCGAACAAAGTAACCACAAAAAAACAATTAATTCATCAGAAGTAAGTTTCATCAATCAATTAAATCAAAAATTTTTAATTTCATTTAATTCTAATTTTTAGAGTCCTCTTGAAAGATTTTCACCATCATCAGAAGAGTTTCATAAAGACTTAAAAGACGATGATACTAATTCAACATTAAGTGAAACAAACGTAAGGGAACAATTAGAATTATTCGAAATGATAAATAAATTAAATAAAAAGTTATTAAAAGAAGAAGAATGTTTAGTAAGGTTACACGCTAACTTTAAGAAATACGATAAAACGAAAGAAAAAACGGATGAAATGACGAAAGCTTTAGGCGACTTAAGGAAAGAAATGGCAAAAGGAGCCTGCGAAATGCAACACAACGAAGTAGTCCTCGAAGAAACTAAAGAAATGTTAGAAACGAGACGAAGTTTTCTCGATAATCTCCATAAAGACCTTTTAAATGAAGACCACGAGTTTGAAATGTTACAGGCGTTGTTGTATTCGCAAGGACTGAATCAAAGGCAGGAAGTGGGCGAGAATTTTTCACCGTATAAGACACATTTTACCAAAGAACTGTTAGATACCTTAGTTTAAGACAAAAATATTCTGCAGATTTCTTTTTAACAATCATTTTTTTCATACCAAATATGCAAAGTACCTAACAAAGTTTTTTTTTTGTTTGTTTTATTATATTTAATTTATAACCATCACAAACGTATGTAATCTTATTTTTGTGATAACGTGTATGTATACCATAATATATTGTAGATATTTGTCGAAATTATTTTGTATATTTGTAAATAAAAGAAAATGTTGATGTTTATTATATCATTATTCTTAACTACTTCAAATATATTACTATGTCTCCTATAATTTTTCCATCACACTTAATTTATTTCAAGATTATCTCCTAGCATAAATTGGATTCAGTCACCCAAGATTTTAGACATAAAAGTAATGTTTGGAATTGGATGGGGTAGGCACAAATCATAAATTTTTGAATCTACATACATCTGGCAATAAGTTCAACGTCTCTTCTTTGTAGTTTGGTGTGCCATTGCATCATCACTGTTAAATAAAACCCCTATGCTACTAGAAACGTCACAGATACCCTAAGAGCTTTTACCAGTTTTTGTTTATTTATCCTGTAGATAAAACCAGCTGTTAGCCAATCAAACCGTTATAGAACTAGCATACCTCCATATGGAGCAGCATGTAATTTTCCTCATTATGATCACATAGTTTTGAAAGAAGACGAAGATTAAAAACTTAAGCTTTGATATCAAACTTTGACATCATCAGTTATGCTCAAGTGCTTCTGTTCTTTTGCCTTCCATAACAAAAGCAATTTTTTCGTATTTGTGATGGCGATTCTTCATCATGTTGTGTCAAGGCCAATAGTTTTTATTGAGGCAGACTTGCGTATCAGATAGCAAACTCTTTCTCTCTCTTCTAAGTAAGGTTCCATCAAAAAAAGACTTTGCAAACCCCTTCGCATATTTCTTTCTGTATTTTTATAGTTTTTCAACGTGATAGTCATTGTACAAGATCTGACTATACGTGATATGTTAGTCAATTGAAATAAAACACGTACTCTAGCCACCATGTTGGCTCCATCCTTGTTAGTATTACAATCCAGAATAATTTCTGGGTTATTGGTTTTAGGAGCCACTGACGACTTTCTATGCATGGATAGCAAGGTTGCCGATATATAACTAAAACTCTAATGGAATTGATTTTTTGATCATTCTTTTGGGTAAGTATCTCCAATTAATACCTGGTAGATTTATTAGTGGATTCTTCAGATTGGTTTCCATACATTTGCTTATACGCCTGGTGAATAATGTTTACCAGCACGTGTAGTTAAAAGTTATGTCAGATATTGGAACCTATTAATTAGTGTTTCAATTTAATGCCGAATTATGGTAGATTAAGTTTAGGTTGGGTTAATTCTAGAAATGGAGTTGAGTAAAATGATGGTTTAGGTTCATGTTTGTGAAATCATTAATTACATTTAGTTAAGATGTGATTGGGTTTAATTTTCTAAACGAAGGTAGATTATTCAGGATTGGATTAATTTGAGACTTGGGTATTTATTGATTGGGTAAAAATTACATTAAATCATGTTGGGACATGTTTGTATTTTGCCAATGCTAAGTTTGGGTATGGATATAAGTTAAACAGGACTACTTAAGTGAGAGTTTAAAAGTTATTGATTGAATTGAGTTGAAATGTGAGGGTTTCTATTGAATTTTGAAAATTTTTCCATTAAAACCAAATTTGCTGCAATTCTGCGTACTCAATTTCACGTAGTAGTGTTTGCAGAAACACATCGCCGATATAAACCAATATATTCCAATCAGTAATGTCAAAAAGTGACAGGAGTTGATAGAAAGTAATAATAGTGTATAAATGTATCAGAATGTGGCAAAACGTGTCAAAAAATTCAAGTGTCAAAAAGTATAGAAAATGAAAAAAAAAAATCATAATATGATAAAAAACATCCAGAAGTGTCAACAATTTCAGTGATAAAGCCCTAATTTTTTGTTAATAAATGGTTATCTACTTCTTGCAACAATTTATTTGCCTAATAACCACGAAACTTAATTACTATTGGTCATCGAATCACATCAGAAACTTTATACTTGTATCAATGCCGATTATAGTTTTTCTATATGATAACTTGTCTAAGAAAGCGATGCTGTTATTCGTGTAGCAACCTACACAATCACTACCTGGTCATCATTATAAGGTGCTATGGTTACCTCAGCTCTATCCATAAACGAATAGGAGTCTTGTAGAAAGAGAACCAAAACTCCTAGTAGCCTCTTCGCCTTAACTTATAGTTTACACATCTTATGTTTTTCATTGTTGCTGTTAGAATCCATAGATTTATTCTACTTCACCACAATGTCATCTGATCAAACAGATTTCTATGTTTTATAAACATAGATGAAAACTATATATTTAAAAAACATAATATAACTCTGCAGAATTTTTTATTATCGTAGACTCATGAAAACGTATTCCTTGTCATGCCATTAATGAGAAAGCCATCACTAAATTTATTTGGAACTGTTAGTGTCAGCGTCATCAATCCTGAGCTACCCTTAACTACCCCAAAATCTTTTATACCCTTGTTTCTAAAAAGGATTCCATTCTTTCTAGTTCTTCTTGTTCCCTTTATTATCTATGAACGAAAAACTAATAGATCAAAGAATTTATATTCGCTGGAGCAACGTTTTTTAGTTGGGTTTTTTTCGACCATAAGACTCGAATTTCCCCAAAACTGTTGAATAGAAAATTTTTTGTAGCAAAAGTGTTTGCAAAAATTCTGAATAACCTAGTAATCCGTTTTTATATAATCAGCTTTGTTTCGGAAGAGTACTTTTGGTTTTAAAATTTGTAGAAAAGCCTATTGAGTACACAAATTAAATTTGGCAATGAAAGAAGTTAGGCGTTTTTCAAAAATTAAGGCTGGATTATGAAACGTAGAAAAAGAGTTTAGACATTCAAAAATACAGCATATTCATAATAATTCTTACCCCTCAAGGATGCCAGAAGAATCTTTTCAATGTTTTGTTGGCGACATTTTTCGACAAGTGTGTAGCGCCTAGAATTCTAAGCCATCATTCTTGGAAATTGATGCCAAAAATGATTGATTAGCCGCAACAAAAATATATCCTTCATACTTCTATTTTAGGCAACTTTATGTACTTTTAGTATATTCGTAGCCAATAGTCATGTTCTCGAACTAAATTTAGTCCACCAATTCTACGTATCTATAAACAAGGATATTTTAAATCAGAGAAATAAAATAGTGATAGAATGTCCATCTATAAAGAAGTAGATGAAGTAAAATATCTGATATGATTACATCAACAGAAACGTATACTTGTCGTTTCAGTATGTAACCAAAATCTTATCTAGTAAAACAAATACACATAAAAAATTGACCTCTTTCCAAAATTAACATTTAGAAGTTAAAATATAATAACACAAACAACTGTGAATATCTTAGTTCATCAATTAATCTCGACAAGAAGAATTAAAACTCAAAAATTTATAATTAATGCTTTAAATTATTCTTTAATTTCTCGCATTCTTGACTACGTAGCATAAAATTTAATAAATTTGTTTCCTTCTTCCGGTGAATCATAGAAAATGATAAAATAATGAATAACATGTTGTCATAACGGCAGAAAAGTGCACACTGCCTAAATATTCTGTAAACAGAAAACTCCAGAAACTTCTAGCATTCAATATTGGCGGTCTGCAAGTGCACACGGCACCAATATTATCTATATAAGCGTATACAATACGGCATCCACTCAAACTTAGTGAAGTGTTCTACAAGTTAAACCAACAGTGACATCTAGGAGAAACGCTTATAAACCATGGAAAGCAGTGAGTACTTTTTATCTTTATCTTTTGCAATAATATTTAATAATAAATATTTGTTTGGAGGATTTTCAATTTATTTTTATACTTAATCATCTATTAATTTAAATTAAAAAAAAAAAAACATTAAGCATATATTTTTATCTTACCATTTAGAATTGGCAAAATCCTGTTGTTGCGGCACAAACTGCAAATGCGAAAACTGTTCCTGTAATTGCGGTTCGTCCCCCGATGCGTGTACCTGCGAAAACTGCTGTTGCAAAAAATCGAAATGTTGTTGCGGCGATAAATGCACATGCAAAAATTGCACGTGTTCGTGCGGATCAGATTCCGGAAAGTGTTCCTGTTCCGACTGTTGCTGTAAAAAAGAATCGCGTAAATGTTGTTGCGGCGATAGCTGCAATTGCCAAGACTGTTCCTGCAGCTGCGAATCAACTTCTTGTTCCTGCAAAAGCTGCGGTTGCAAAAAGGAATCTTCGAAATGTTGTTGCGGCGATAAATGCGGGTGCGAAGGATGTTCTTGCAAATGCGGCCCGAATTGTTGTTGTACTGAATGTTCTTGCAAAACGGGAACTAAGAAGAGTTGCGGAGGAGGATCTTGCGGAACAACCTCAACTTCTTGTTGTAAAAAATAATTAGCTTTAAGGAAAATAAAAATACTTTATTTAGAAATGTTCATTGAAAAATAAATATTATTTTATGTTGTAATACTTAATACCAATAAAGATTATATTATCAAGGTTTTAAATGTGTTTCTTGATGTTTTGATATTTTACACGTCATTATTGCAAGTAAATATAATTTTTTATTTGACGTTAAAATTCTATAATAAAAAAGTAAAAACTTGATTCCTTCATATCATTGGAATTAGAAGATATTATTGCTACCGTCATGTCTTGATTTATTGAGATTTCATTCTTAAAGGTTCCCCAGTGGTCTAACCTAGAAGCTTGTGCCTAGCTTTTAACAAAGACATCGATAACAACACTTCTGGTGAACGCAAAACCAACTTCAAACATGTTTGGTAAACGACCATCATTTTAGCAAACGTAAGATCTGTCTGTTGGCAAACACAAACAGTTCAAAACTGAGAAAGCTACTGTTTGCTGATAACTGGAAGGTATTCTCAATTATTATTGATGTCGGAGATTGAACGTAGTTTGTATTCAAGATCAATGGTTCTATTTATCATTTAATATGTCTTAATATTGTTTAGACGACCATCAGTTGATATCTAAACCTGACTGTTGTGATCTCCTTGCTATATAGCTGATGATATCTCCTTACTCCAAACGTTTTCTTCATTCTTCATGCAACTGCTAGCAAATTCTTTTTTTCAACGTGCGTCTTTAAGCATTTAGTGTTGGTCATCCTAATGGTAAGTGTACATTGCATACTCTTGTAGGTGTATCTTTTTAGATCGATTCCTAATGTTATCATCTGGTTAAATTTTCATAATTACTTCAAAATATAACTAAATAAATGTACGTGATGGAATTCATAATCATTCATGAGGATCCTTAAAATTAAAAAAAAATTAATAATAGATTTAATCAGGTAAGTTCTAAGCTTCCAGGATATGCTCAGATAAGGAAAAATGAAGGTGATGACTATAAAGAAGGAAGGTATATAAAACCATCCAGTTACTTCAAGACACTGATTTATTTGCGAATGGAATACTGTATACCAAAACTAATACTGTATACCAACTGAAAAAAAAATGATATAATCACGAAAGACATTTTAAAACAAAAAAAATATATATATAAATGATAATAATACAAAAATATACACAACAACTTTAAACTGGGCGCGCAAAAAAGAATTAAATCGAAGACACGATACACACACACGTACAAAAAAATATAATCACGAATAAATTACGTCCTTCTACACGGGTATAATATTATGATACAGTCACTGTTTTGTTCTCGCTATAGTAATAAATACATACGAATACATATTTAACAATTAACAATGGCACTAAAAAAATGAAAAAAAAAACGTGGCATAATGAGGTCCCAAACGTTTCAGTTTGAGTACACATAAACCCATTTGTTCCTCAACACTTTTATCTCTTGTTTGGTCTTCCTAAGCGAAATCGTACAATGAATGTATTTTTATCTATGTACAAATTACAGGCGATAATAAGTAGTACTTAATCTTAAAAAATATTTAAGGATAATTAATAAAGAGAATATTCTAGAAAAAAATAAATAAGGATTTTAAGGTGCTAATTACAGGAACGTGGAATGCAACGAGGCATATTTTTAATGTTGGCAATCGGTGTATAATCCGTTTATATAAATATAATTGGCAACATTCGTTGAAACCAAAAAAAAAGTTTTGAGAAGAATTAATAATTATTTGTTCTATGCGAAGGGGAAAAAGGAGGGAAAACAGAGATCTAAATTCGCCATTTAAGTATTACTTAATTTAAAACTCCGTAAAAACGTAAAGACGAGTGTTCTTATTTGTAAAATTAAAAATTACTTTTAAAATTAATTTTTCTTTTTACATTATAACCACTTCTCACGTACGAATTATATCATCTCAACTCTATTTAGAATATTTTTAATACCCATCATCGTTGTCCTTGTGCTTTTTTACGATTTGTGCTTTATTGTCACATCCATTTGATTTCTATTTATGAGAGGTGATTCTTTTAACACCCTTCGTACAATAGACACGAGTACAATGTGACTTTTTTCTTAAGGAGAAGAGGTAAGGTTATAAATAATCAATATATGAGAAGTTTGGCGATTTCATTCTCATAAAAAATTATTAATGTGTTAAAATTTCTTTAGTAAACACTCTTTAAACTTAAAATTAATTTAAAGATACTAAAGAAATTTTTGAATTGAAATCAAAAGGATTTTTAAAAAAAGGATCCCATAAAATTGGTCCCAATTTTCCCTTTTATATTTAAACCACCACCAAACCCATCATATACAAATTAAAACCATTAATTAATATTTTTTCATAATATCGAGATTTTTAAGTAATCCTCTTCTCCGCCCTCAATTCTCAAAATATAACCTATAAGTCGTTTTGGTTCCTCTCAACCTAAAAATTAATAAAACTAACTAAAAATATATTAAATTAAACTAAACGGTTACAGCGGGTCGAACATTTTTGTTTACAACATAAAATTTGTGCTTCTTCCCAATGACTCCCCAAATAACCGCAACATTCTCAATAATAACATTAAACGGCATTGTGAGTAACGCCCCACCAATGCACAAAAGAAACCTCAACAAACCGAACCGATAAATAGTGAATGATTTGACTACACCAAAAACGTACATATAAATATTAACGGCGGCTATAAAGGCGCATAGAATGTCTATAAACGGGGGACACGGAATCGGACACAAAGCTGCCAAAACGACGTTGGACGCTGAAAGAGGTAGAGTGACCCAAGAGTAACACGAGATGGCCAGTAAGACTTTTTTCTTGAAGGGCAACGCTTTCGAATGGACGACCAACAATATTCCTTGAAGCCAACGTTTTCGTTGCTGGACAAAATCCCAAAGTGTAAAAGGACTTTTTTCCCACATTTCGCCTTCGATAAAGTTGAAACTGTAACCTTCATCGAGCGCTCGCATTGCGAAGAAACAGTCTTCCGCGACGGAACCATCCAAACCGTTGTCGAAGGATACTTTCTTTTCAGCTCCCAACTAAAAATTAAAAAACAAAGAATTAATAAAAACATCATAACTAATCAATATAAAACTTAAGGAAAAGAATCGTAATAAATTTTAGCATAAGAAGTGCAGAGAATGTAAAGTGTCTTATATATATAATCACTTCTTGTAGTGTATTTAACTTTATAGTAAAAACAAATTTTGTGTGAACCTTTTAAAGACTTTGTAAATGAGGAAATTGAACAATAAGGAGCAGTATTCACTGTTGTTCAGCTGAACAAATCAGGAATGAAGAACGACGAAATGGTTCAAGAGTTCTGCAGTTCAAAACAGTTCAGAACCTTTCTCCGCATGCATTTAATATGTATGCGCAGAAAGATTTAGAACTGTTCGGAACTACAGAACTCTTGAACCAAAACAAGCCTAAACTGTCCACGATGTTTAACACCAAACGTTATAAAGAGACTGCAAGGACTGCGCAGCACCTTCGGGGAGGTCGTCCAATCACCGCCACGACTTCAAAGAATGTGCAAAAGATCGTCAGAAGAAAGCTAAACAATACAATGAAGCTAAGGAGATCGCTAGTGCTCGATTATCAAAACTTCTCTTCACTAATCAGAAGATTTTTATGATCGAGCCTATCCGAAATCATCAAAACCAAAGTCAACTACACAAGCTGTGCCAGCAGAAGACTGCTGCTGCAAAAATCATGATGGTTTGGGCTGGCATTTGCACCACCGGAAAAAAGGCCGTTGATTTTCATTGATCGAAACGTCAAGATCAACTGCAAGTTTTACGAGACGTTCTGGAGAAGTGGGTTGATTTGCGTTGCGATGGGTTGGGCTGGGTTGGGAAAGAAGAATTGCATATACGGAGGAAGAAGGAGCAGATGTAGAGGACATTATAGCGGAGTGGGTAAGTAGGTGGAAGGAAAACACCGGAAAGGCAGGATGGTTAAAAAAAAATCTTGCCCGACATAGTATCATGGTTTACACGTAAATGGGGAGAAGTTAATTACTACATGACGCAATTAATTTTTGAGCGGCCATGGCTGTTTCAAGGTACACCTGTATAAACATAAAAGGGCCGACAGCGAAACATGCGTGTACTGCGGACAACTGGACGATGTGGAACATACGTTCCACCACTGTGATAGATGGGAGGAAAAGAGAATGGAGTTAAACATAGGACAGGGAAGAGTGATGTCACCGGAAAGTTGCGTTGGAATTATGCTTGAGAGTAAGAAGAATTGCAATATGGTCCCGAAATACGTAAAACAAGTGATAGAGACGAAAGAGAGAGAGGAAAGACGAGAACTGTAGGAACCAGGAAAGACGGAAAGGGGTGCTTTCTGCACCCCTTATCGAGTGCGTTATTTTTCTAAATGAAATATATAAAAAGTTAGCGGCTGTTTTCTTATTTTTTCGGTACTCCTGACACTGAGCTGCAGTAGACCCCGCGGAAGAGTAAGAAAGTGAAATGCAGCAGGGTCTGAGAGGAAGAGGGGCGTAGCGCCCCCACCCGGGTGCGTAGCTTTCAAGGAATCCTATAAAAGTAAACGGTTTGTTTTTGTTTTTTATTTTTGCATAGTTATGAGTCGTCCATGCCAGAAGAAGGAGTAAAACGAGGCATAGTGCCCTAAATCGGTTATGGCAAACAGTACAGGGTGTTGAAGAAAGAATCTGAAGTGTTTGGTGAGGTGGGAGATGGTGGAATGTCAGACGACTGGGGGGACGGAGCATAGAGGTGCGGAAAAAGATTTGGTGTGTATGAGGGAGAAGATGATACAGCGTAACAGGCCGAAGTTTGACACACGCATGCGTATTTCCGGCCCATCTGCAGAGATCTACACAAGGTTTTTTAGAGGGTGCGAGCCCCTCACTCTGGCGTTGAGCCAGGTCGACTGTTAGAGCTTTTTCCTCCTACATAAAGGAAAAAAAAGGGAGAAGCCAAGAAGCCGTCATATTCGGTACAATGATTTTACAACAAATTTAAAAAACACAGATGATGAAGCGTTAGATTACTGCAAACGAAACTATTGATGCAGGAAATAAGGAAAGAAGCTTGACAGACAATGGGCAAAATGAAGAAAAAAATTTATTCCTAATCAATAAAATAATATTAACACAAATCAGAATTTTTGAAATGTACCATTAATTTCCATTAAATCTACATTGACCACTTTAGATTACAAATATTGATTAGCGAATTTGCTAAAGTTCAAGTGTCGTTTTTGTAGTTGATAATAATGGTTAATTTAGGCAAATTTAATTCAAATACTTTGAGATCAATAGCGACAGAGTTTCTTGTGATATGCATACTTGTGATAACAAAATAATACCAAACAATTATTCCAATTTTAAGTCTAAAATCATAAAAACGTTGTTGTATAAAATCAAGATATTCAAGACTTGCGATAAGTTGAGTTGTTATTGGAAAGATTTGAATCAACAGAAATTTTAATAAGTGCACAATGTTCATCAAATTTGTAGTTTATTGTTGTATCGGAAGATAAATATCCACAATAATTTTCGCTTCATTATCCAAATTTGAATATTGCAAATATAAACACATGTTGACATGTAAACTAAACATTTCATCTAAAAGAAAACATTGAGAAAACAGTTATTACGTATACACAAACAATAAAAATAAATTATAAAAATTTTTTTCCGATGAAACGCGCTCAAAAAACCTAAACAACAATGACTAAGTAATGTATTTTGAAGTCCAATCGTCATAAAATATCACAACTGAGTGTTAATTGTCTCTGCATCAACGATCAAACATCTATATATACACGTCTTCTAATTTTAGTAACACTTTAGTGGAAATCGATTGACGTTTTGAAATGAAAGAAATGGAATTTTTAATAATAAAAAGGAATCGTGGGCGACATTTGGAAACTTGATATTGATTTATGTGGCGTGCAAAACGCGCGTCTCTTTCTCTGTGTGTAACACGAGATAGCGTGTTCCCAACGAACCCCTGAACGATTGAAATTTTGATAACGGAAAAACCAGCTGCTCACGCATATGGCGTTATGGAAAAACATATTATTGCTTTTCATATAAATTAATGGATTCAATTAAAGTTGTTATTTTGAAACGAATACCTAGGGAATGTTCAACAAAAAACGATAACTACTATTTTATGTTTGCTTTTCCTTTTATTTATTTTTTTTTCTTTTGGCGCCAGTCGTTATTCATTGGGAAAGGTCACATTTCTTTACCATCTCTTATCGTCTGGAGACGACGTTTCCGGTCAAATGATAAGCAAAAATAACAAGTTATTTATGTACTGCCTACTGCTCTACTGTGTCATGCAGATTTTATGATTCATATTTTAAAATCCGCTTCCTCCATTCTTTCAATAAATGTCATATTTTAACTTCATGGGTTAAATATTTCTATTATACCATAAATTTAAATAATTTTTTTTTATCTCAAAATTAACATCACAAATTGTTTTGCATATGAAATTAATACGAAACTGGGTTATGTTAATAACCCTGCTTGGTTACAGAATAAAATATGCAAAACCAATACGTAGTGAACAAAGTTAATAAAAAAAATAGAAACTTTGAACTAGTTCGAAGTTGCTATAGGTGTTAAAAGTTTCTCTAAAACCTCTATCACCAACTAAAAATGTGGAAAACTGCAACGCATACGATGTATATCACTACAATGTGCGAGATCACCCCAAATTTGCTGCGAAACTTTTGTACTTTGGCATTGTGAGTGGGTTTTGATTTTGCTGATGTTAGGTTTTACAATAACCTGCCTACATTTGTAATACAATTTACAGAAAACTTTTTTTGAAACAAAAAGTTTCCCGGTTTAAGTTATGAAGCATATTGGACCCTGGTTGATGCAAATTTGATGCAGACACAATGTAAACATTATATCTTGCTCAAGACTCATCATACACATTTAAAGTGGGATTTGATGTAGGCTTACCTATCGAGACATAATGAAAATTTGCTCAGACGTCAAGACTTAATGCAATGAAATTTTGAAGTAGTCTTGATGTAGATCCGGTAGAGATAAAGACTTGACTTTGTACGAAGTTGATTGACAGAAACAACCTAAGGAGATGATGTAGTGAAGACCTTATGCAAAGTTGTATCTATTCAACCTTGATGTAGATATTATGGAGATGATCCATTTACCCTCCCAGATACAGTGTTTCCATGCCGGCCAGATTTCATACAGTCTTAATGCTGACTTAATAGAAACTTGATATGATTGAGACCAAGATTATCAATTTCGAAATTTCAAACTTCAATTATGTAGTGATAGACGATACAGATGAACGATTGAGTTATGAAGCAAATTTGATCCAACATAACTTACCAGAAACATAGTAAAGGCTTGATGTCGAGATAATCAAGACTTTATACGGAGTTACTCACATGCAGACTTGATGCAAGACCGATTTCGAGAAAATTCAAAGTAGACTCAATAGATGTGTTAAGTCTCCAATTAGGAAGCATAATGGTGATTTGACCAGAGTTCAATGTCATAAAGCAGATTTTAAAATCAAAACACACTCTTACTATACAGATTTTATGCAATCTTAGAAAAGTATTGATGCACTAAATGGAGTAATTAAGACAGACCCAATGAGGATATGATGCAGTGTTGAAAACTGGAGTATGCACAAATTAGAACGTAAAAACATGACGAAGACTTGATTGATGAGACTTAACTTGAGATATGATTTTATGCTGTATAAATAACACAAGAGATATCAGATATCTTTGCAATAAGTGATATTAAGAATAGTTTGGCACTTCTAACATTTTGAAATAGTACTTTCTTTCGTTAATACGATTTAGACAAGATCTATAGAATTAAGTCCATTGCTTTCTTAATCCGTAATTTGAAAGAAGTCTTGAGCGAAGGATTGATTTAATCTTTCTGGTCCAAATGCCAGCGATTCTTCATCATTAAAACATGTCCATAGTAACCTATGGTTCTCAATGACGGCAAAATATCAAATGTTTTTCTATAGTATAAATTGTATACAGA